GGGGCCCGGCGCCCCCGGCTGCTGCCCCGCGGGCTGAGCGGGGCCCTCAGCGCGTCCGGCCCCTCAGGCCTGAGCTTCCCCTTCAGGACACGCGCTTCGGCCTCTGCCCGCACGCGACCTCCCGCCGCGCCGGGCGCGCGCTCCTCTAATTCTTATTTTCCTGCCTGCGGGAGGGGCCCGGCTTGCCCTCTGAAAGCACCCAGCTACCACACAGCTGGATCAGGATTAGCGCTGCTCCTTCCACCTAAGCAAGTACACAGGTATGTTTATGAACAGAGGCATCCTCAGATTAAAGTGCAACGTATGAAAAAAGTATATAAAATATATGATTATATAAATATATACATGTAAAATGGAGATGGAGTGCAGGTACTGCAGCATCAGTTTCTGATGCTATAGACGCCATGTATGAGACAGTAACACCTCCTCCTAGGGATGCTAATATAAACCAGGACCGGGGTAGGTGCTCTGCCGACCTCTGCTGATGGCAGGTGTGCTCATCTGCCCCTGTCTATGAGAAAGAAACATATTGTTTGTCACAAAGTTATGCAAAACTAACAGAAAAAATCTTGAGAATCGGGAAAAAAAAGTCATATGCAAGTATGATCTTAAAAATAACTTGCTCATAACCGGATGCTATTTCTGACGTGTCTTCCTGCGGCCAGAGGTTTGGTACCTGCTGGCTGACCACCTGTGTCAGCTATGTTTCACACAACCAGTTGCAGCAACAACTTCCTTCTTGCTGGAACAGAAACTCCAGTTTCAACCACAGTATGTTTTGGGAAAAGTATTTGTTATCTACCTCAGCTCAGAACCTTTGGTGGAAGAGGAGGCACTTAAGCCAGAGGCTTTCAGAGAATGATGAACACTCTGTTTTTACTCACCTGCTTGGGCATTCAACACTGAAGGTGTGAATGTGCCTGCTCTTCTTTTAAGTTTCAGAAATATATTCAGTAAGTTCACTTTTAGGGGCACTGAAAATTTTCAGTGCAGCAGAGTAAACTACCAACACTTTTTTAGTGTGGTTCTACAGACAAAAAATGTTTGTCTATAAGTGATGAATATTAAGTAGTGTGAATTTAAGAAGACAACAGCAGGATGGTTGGAGGTCTGAGAAGGTAAGACAGTTATACCTTATGCTGTACCTTACTGGTTATAGCCTCCAAAATTATAGTAGTGCAGTGGCAGCTCATGTTCCCCTCCTGTTTTGAGGGAAAACAACACTGCATTTGCACATAAGACTTAAAATGTAACTCACTGGTAATTTAAACTTATTTAAATGGTCACCAAGATAGTCCCCATTCAAACTCACAAAAAGGGCCTCTACTCAATAAAGGAACATAGCTACTTAAAATAATTGATTAGCCAGACCATAGTTCTGTTTGCTTTGGTAACACTGGTGCATATTAACAGAACTGCTTTTTCCTCTTTACCAGGGTCCATTGGAACACAGTGGGATCTCTCATGATCTGTCATGAAACTGAGTCCAAACTTCACCCTTTACATGGAACTTGCTTGTAGAAAAATGAAGTCACAGTACTGAAAACAGACTCAGTGCTTGACTATATGAGCCTCTTACAGACAAGGCTTCTCTAGAAGGGCAATGATGACTTACCCCAAGAAGTTTTTATGCAATAAAAACTCTGTTAAATTCAATTAAATCCTTTCAAGTTTCTTTGTTTGGCACTAGTACACCAGCAACTGACTTAAAGTAACTAGTAACTCAGGGGAGGAGGAACTAAGATTTCTAAAGGAAGTCTTTCTGTCAGGTTTGATTTACTATCAAGATCATAAAGGTCTGCTGAATATTAACAAATACTTAAAGAATTTAAGTAATAGTAAAACCATTTCTTTAGCCTGCACTTTTTTCCACCCTTGTAGAAGAACCTGCTCTTCTATTTCGTAACTGCTGCTGTGAACAGCAGTTCATAACTACAGGTGTAACAGTGAAAAGATAACTGCTTCCCAAGGTGAATGGCAAACTGATTTTAATGAAATTAAGCAATATTACTGCAGGCATTCACACCACTCCAAGCCACACCTCCAGCTGCATACGCTGAGGTAAGGTACACTTCAGGTTGTTTTAAAAAAAAAAAAAAGTGTGCTCTCATTATTTGAATCGCATAGCTTGAATGTTTCTCTTACAGTACGTAAATCTGATATTAACACCTAGCAACTGTTAGTAAAACTGTCCCAGTTTTACTAAAAACTAGTTGACAGTTGCCTGTGTGATACAGTAGGATGGTTTATTTTGACAAGGATCAGAATTGTAGCTTTGACTGAAACTGGATGAAGTTTTCTTATTTTACAAGAACACTCGTATCCAGTATATGCATAAGATAATATCAAAAAGCACAGTGCTAAAATTGACAATAATTTATTCTGTTTAGGCACATTCAACAAATACCAAGCTTTTAGCTTCAGTTTGGCAGTCCTTTCCCACTGAATATCTGGTAGGGTTTCCCCTCCCTCCCCCCCCGGCATAAACTCCATTGCCAGCAACGGATGCATCAGAACAAGAAATTAATAAATAATGCACACAGACAGCAGTTCTCTAAACATACCTTCTCTTTTAAAGGTATGATACAGATTTACTAACAAGTCTCAAGCAGGTTCTTCACAGAAGAAATTTTGCTACAGGCTGTCCACTGAAGACTTTTCTTCACCAATGTTGGTACTTTACTTCATGGAATGCAGTATGTGCTAATATAAACAAATTTGTTTTCTCAGAAGGTAGGCTGAAGTATTTGAGTATTACTGAATTGCATATATTTAATACTGGTGTGTTTTTGTTGACCATTCCACCCACAAGAAAAGGCTCTTGTGCTGCTGTGTATGTCAACTTTAGGGGAGTACTTTCCCCCCCACATCACCACCCTCGAGATTGCTTTTTAACCACTGCTCCAAATTTAAGAGTATTGTTTTTAAGTTTAAATGTAACAAGTATTTCACTTGACGTTCCATGAAGTACTATGTTAAACACAATTGAAGAAAATTCCTGCTCATGATAGAATCACTCTCAAGTACTTTTGAATATCCCTCTAAATTTTCATTTCTTACTAAAAATGTAATTTTATAAAAGCGTGAAGACTACAGAAAACCCATGAACATAACTGGAGTTAACCTTGAAGAGGTTTTTCACAAGGGTATGTTACGTATCACCAAACTTCTGCTTTAGCATAAGAAAAAAGGAAAAAAAAAAATGAATAAAAATAAATTCTCTCCCAACTATTTACACAGAGGAATTACCCTGCTATGGGACAGTCACTTTTATTCTGCAGTTCCTCTAACCCAAGGCATGACCTTAGGTGTATCTTTTTGTGTTTTAGTCTCTTGGAAGTTTACAGCAAACCTTTCTCTTGCTTTATCCCAGTTCTTTTTATTCTTGCTCTGGATGATCTGAACATCTTCGATTGAAGCTGGTTTACTTGTACCCAAACCTGCATGTGTCTTATGTAACTGAAGGTGAATCTGTCAAATACATAAAGAAATGCTTAACTGTAGAAATAATTATTAAATATTAAATTAATACTAAGTATTTCAAATCATGCTTTATAATACTAATCCCTCTCACCAAACACTTCTGTGTAAGGTTCTAACAGTAATATAGCCAGATCATAGAGTGACACCTAAACTACTATTAAAACAGTTTGATGAATCTTTAAAATTGCAATCTGAAGTATTGAATGATGTCACCTACCACCAACTAACCCTTGGAGCACTGCTCATGGATTGAGTGCAGTAAACAGCAAGCCAGCCCTGTAAGGGGCACAGTTTACAATACAAACCAAGGTGTGGCTCTGAGCCCATCTTAAAATTAATTTACCTCACTTAAGTCTGAAGGAAGACTGGAATTGTTTCGTATTCAAACATGGGATTATTCACATGACTAGAAGTTGTCTGTCTTCCTTTGCTTGGTTTCAAAACAAACAACAAACATTACTGGTGTTTTCCACAAGAGTGATGTAATCGTTGAAAACTTTCACAAAATTTGATTCAAGTTAAGAATTATTTGAGATTGGCTCTACTGAGGTTATTGCCTACTATTGATGACTTTGAAGTGTTTTAAATGAATCATCTATGGCTTACAGCTCGACATTATTAATTGCAAGTGCATTTCAATTTCTTTCTGTTCCAAGTGAAAAACCAGACCTACCGGATCCTTCATACCACCACCGTCTTTGCCCAGGCCTTCCCCTTTCTTCCATCCCATCTTCTCCAACATTTGATGTCCTTTATTGCTGTTGCTGATTTCACTTTAAAGAAAAGTTAACGGATAAGTAAGAGTTAACACACATGCATCCACTGTGCTACAAAACAGGAACCAACTACTCTTTTGCTGTTCCTACTTGAATCAAGAACTATCCAGAAGACCCTCACGCCACCTGTTTCAAGTTCTCCCATGCATATCTTTGGTACTTTGGGCTACTATTCCAAGACTCCCCCACCCCACTCCCAAAGTATTAAAATGCCTGTGAACTATCTGGTTATTTTGGGAATTACAAAATAAAATGCAAGTGGGGGAGAATCAATTGTGCTTGTGAAAGGGTAGCAAGTACCTCACCACCAAATCATCCTAGTCCTCACACTCCATTACCCCAGATATCCTTTTACGAACTTACAAATTAGACCTACAATTACTGTTTACCATTTCTAACAGATTCACCACTGATGGATACAGATTTTTATAAACTTACGTATGGACAGAAGCTGGAGTATCATCTCTCTGGAAAGTTCCTTCACTTCCAACAGTCTCTCTGCGTTTTCCTGCTCTGTCTTTGTACTTTGGATTCTTCACTGCTTTGTTGTTTTCATACTCTGTGTTCTTTAGGATCAGAAGAAATTCCATCAGGGCATGATGTCTGGCTTTAAAGTCTCTTTTTTGATGTCTTGATTCTTTCCTTCCCCATTAGTGGAGCAGCTTCCCCTTATTTTATTAATTCTAAAACTTGTAGCAAAATACTACAGAGTTCTTACTGAGTAGTTTGTTATTGACATCACATAACGATGTAATATTGCCAAATTTATCAACTTCATAGAGACGGTTAATCTCAAACTTCTTTGTATGAAGAATCATTCTTCTCATATTAAGCATCAAACTGTATTGACAAGCCACTGAAAATTCCATGAGACTAATATAAAGCTTGTCTCTCAGCACCAATTTCTTTGAAATAGGTAACTAAGAATGCATGTATGCATTTTGTATCAATGTGATTTCAATAGTTAAAGAATTTGAGAAATGTTTTCTTCTTATTAATTGTTACAACTGCTAGATGCAACCCTGTAGTCAAAATCATCTCTAAAACACAAGTAACACAACCATACTTATACACCATATTGCCTGTACACTCATGTTGGCATTCTTGTTTATAAATAATGACTAGCTTGCTTAGTATACAGGAAACAAACATACATTAAACCAACAGGCTTCAGTTTTTTAAAAATCTGATAGTTCACTGAAACTCATGGTTTGAAATAGGAATCACAGAGAGGGTGTAGACTTCAAGCACATAATCAGTCTTCACTGTAAACTCACCTGTAAACCGTATTTCACCCATATTTGTTTTAATGCTTTTCTTCTGACTAACTCTCTCTCTTCTTTGCTAAGTGCTGGGAAAACTAAAAGGAAGAACATATGACTGAATTTAATTTAACCAGTATTTAAGCATTAAGATGGACAGAAATTTTGTTCTAACGTTATTACACATAGACAAACATGCCAAAAGAAAATACATCAGGAGTTGAAGAGCTATTCCCAGATGACAAGAAAATTGCAAGATTAAAACCATCTGAGGTAATTATTATGTCAATAAAGACCTATTGTCAAAATATATCGAGTGATAATATGACTAACCAGATGATTCCTTTTTCTTATCCAGGCGAAGATGTGCTCTGACTTGCCCTGGTTCACAGCCATCACAAGTATCACTGCCAGGATGTATATGAAAAGAAAGTACAGTTTCACCAATCTTCACTTCATCTCCATGCTCCAAGATGTAGGGATCACATTTTGTTTTGGGCTACAGCAAGAGAGTTTTGACAGTCATGTTTATCAATGAGCAATGAAGGGCAAAAACTGTAAAGCACAACTACTGCTAACACTGTAATGATTCATTTTGGCATCATGAATCCAGGCAAAAGCTTCAAGCAGGCATTTCAGTCTACATTCTGTGATTGGAATGGCTTTTTCCTAATTTATATTACAAAATACACCAAGTGCTACACTTGGATCCTAAAACCATAAGAGAACTAAAGTAGTGATTACTGTATGAAAGAAATCTGTTGTTAGTGAATGAAAGTGACCATGACTACATTTTTCTTTAACATAAATAATGTTATTATAAAGTAGTTATAATGCTTAGCAATATTGCAATAAGTTCACTCACCTGGAGAATCTGATTGCCATTAACAACTGTTCCATTCTGACTCCCTTGATCCACAAGGACATAATTTTGCAAATCGTGGTCAAATTATACTTCTGCATGGAACTGATAAATACAAGAATTTAAGTGAAATGTTTTCATTAAGTATTTCACAGTTTACACACTGAAGTAAGTTTTCAGAAGGTATTTTAGGGAGTTGTTCTGGTACTCTAATAGCCATGTTATGCAATGCTTTATTACCTCAGGCCATTTGAGATGTAAACAAATGGGCTTCAAAACCATGAAGTACTTCATTGATAATATACCTATGGCATGACCCTGCTTGAGCAGGGGAGTTGGACTAGATGATCTCTAGAGGTCCCTTTCAACCACAAACATTCTGTGTGATTCTGTGACTATCAGGTGATTTTATTAAGAGGGATTTGTATTGAAAAAAGTATAAACTTCCAGTATAGCAAGTGTGTTTTATCTTGCAAAAGAAGGAAATAAAAGAGAGTGTAACAGCATTCTAGCCTCCTCCTGTCTTTGTGGCACACATTCTAGAGATACATGAAGACCTGCTTTTTTTTCTTATTTGATCTCATTCTCCACCTTCACATTACATGGGCCATCATAACAGAAGCAGATATATTAAGATGTGTACGGTAGCACCCAGAACCCAACAGTTCCTGTCCATCAACTGCTGTTCCTTTTATTACCTTTCTGACATTAAATGAACAATCCCATTAAAAGAATGGGGAAGACATAATTCCACGCCAAATTACTTGTCTTATCTGCAGGGTGTTATTTATTTAATTCCTCATTTTAAATTTATGTTAAGCAAAATGCCAGAATGGTCCACATTTATCAATTACAAACAGGAAGGGAAACATTTTGGTAACAACATTCTGTATTTCTACAGATATGTCCTTTAACTTTCTGCCTTTGAATCTTCATCTGCAAAATGAAATAACTTGTAGGCAGTTAATTTGAATGAAAAGTACTTAAAGCAAATAGGTGTGCATAAAGTATTGATAAATGCTGCTATCCAAATCAAGAAACAATACAGAAAAAAGGTTAATGTTGCAAAAAAATAAATACCCTTTGACTGTTTCATGTGCCCCATTTAAAAATACATCTCTAAAAAGCTCATTAGCATACAGAAAAGGTTTTCACATGAAATTCTTATTATGCATATGGTACATGCCTGATTAATCAGAACTATCATCTACCAAAGACTTGATAAAGGGTATTTCACATACTAGCATATGCATCTTTTTTCTCCCACTTTTTTTTTGTTCGGATCACATGCCTTTGTTAATCAATGGTCTGTGCTGAAGTATTTAGCAAAAGAGCACCCTATTTTAATCCCTCTCTTAACTAGAGAAAAGACATTTGTCCCAAGATCTTTCACTAAAAAGACTTCTATGATATTTTCAAGCTTCCTGAACATCATCTTTCATACTGTTACCTTGAGGAGAAGATAAAGCATATTAATGTAATCTCAACTGCAAGAAATTCAAGATTCAGAGTGCAATTATTTACTGTGGATAAATTCCACTTTGAAAAAAATGCTTAGCTTTCCTAAAGTTTGAATGTAACCTATCTAATCTTCAAGTGAGTGTGACACTGAAGTCAAACGGCTGTTTGCATCAAGTCCCTTTTCAGCAAAAGGTGTTTGTTTCTCTAGCTTTACAGAAGTAGATGAAAGCATATCTCACTCTAGAGCTGCTTTAAAAAAAAAAAAAAAAAACACACACAAACAAAAAACCCTGCAAGATTTGATAAAATTTAAAGCCATAAAATCTAAAGCTTCATTCATAATTCACCTAGGTTCCGTCATACAAAAACAAGCATTACCTTACTGACTCCAACTTCAGGAATCTGAAGTGTATGTCCAACATCTTTTTCTCTGGAAAGGCAAGCCAACACATAAATTATGATAAAGTGGGAGTATTTTTTTATAATGGCTTACAATACATATTTCCCACTGAGCAACTGGGGAATCTTGCAGATGCAGAAGTATTTTTTTGCAATGTATGATGCATAAAAGTGTTTATAGATGATGCCTTAATCATCTATAATCTAAATAGCAGGCAATGACACAATAAAGGTGTCCTTTAAAAGTTTATCCAGAAATCTGGTATTTCTACCTGTATTTTTACTCTCCTATAAGTCCTGTAGATTGCCTGTGAATTCTGCATCATTTACGCTTTTTGGTGCATCTTACCATCAATTTTGGAGGAGAGTTCAATTCTTAGTAGCATTACGCAGGTAACACAAGCAATGAAATAGTAATCTGCACAGATTTATCAGTCAAAACTAGTGCAGTGGAAAGAAAGAGGTAAGAATGCAAGTTGCAAGCACTGACATCTATTAAGCTGACAAACAGATGGACCTAGGAAGCTCCAGTTTTAACAGAAAATCAAGACATCTGCCAGCACCAACCAGAAGCCACTGAAGAGCTGATGATATCAGTAAACACTGATAAAGATTTAATGCATCACTCAATTCAGCAGTTCTTTAATAGGCACAATAAAAAAAAAAACAAACTGTATTTTTTCTAGCAAGACAAGTCACATATACAGGCTATCACAAAGTTAAACTTACTATTTTAAAGTGATGAATTGACCCTACTGGAATTTGAATGTGTGATGAGTCCAAGTTTGCAAAGGCAACTATTACGCTTCCTTGAAATTCTGAATTTCTGAAGTGTATAATTTCATTTCTGAAAATTTCACTCAGGGGCCCAGAAATTTATTCACTAAGAAACAATGGTTTTCAATAAATTCCTTGTAATTTATGCTGCCATTAAGCCTTAGACAAACAATCCATTACAGCTAGGTGGTTCTCACTGCCTAACAGGCTTTCATGGCTTGCTCAGCTGTTACTTGCATATGCACATGCTATTAGGACAACAGCCATGATGTTAGGTGACTTAAACCTCTTACTGTTGGCTAATCACAGTATCTGGCAACTGCTGACAGTTAGAGCAAGCATGAACAGTAGAGATGAACACTGAGCATCTTATCTAGCTTTCAAAGTCAGACATAACTTAAGATTATACATATAAACTCCATTCAGATTTACCTTCCAATTGTAGCAGGTTTCACAGCTGTGATAATATGAAGTGATCCAGTCTGTAGTACTGGAGATCTAATTACAATTACTCTGATACAAGGAGGCCATATTTTTTCTTCATCTATTGCAATAAAAAACAAAAAACAAAAAATATAGCTACCAACAGTTTTACTCCTATAGTCCATAACTTCACAACTTTCAAACTGGTATCCTTGTATGTCATAAAGCTTGAATCACAACTAGTTGAAATAATCTGGCAAAAAAAAAAAAGTTTTAAAAAGGGAAACATAAGCACATCTGAGAGGAAACTTTGATGCAACTACTGCTTCAAAAGCTTTCTGCTTCCCCGCTAAGTTATGAGTTTTCATGTTCAGATCTACATACACAAATATTTACAATAATAAAATATATAAACTCAGAGAATTAAATAATATACTACATATTTATGGCCCATTAGTTACAACAAATTAGGGATAGTCTGTTTCAACATCATCTTACTGATTAATGACAACACCACTAAATCCTAATCTCAGTTCATATAAATCTCATTAATTCTCTGGCAAATGCTGCATTTTTACTAAGTTTTACTAAGCACTGAGCACCAACACAGGCAGGAGAGAATAGAGGAGATTATAGATACAATGTCATCAATATGTACTGAGAGAAAGGATATGTGTAACAGCTGTATGAATTTTGTTCCTGGATCTGCATTTGTAGAAAGACCCTTCACTGAGCTGATAAAGGAACAGACAGGGCAAGCTGGGAAGAGACCATCTCAGAAAGTATTTGGAAGAGAGAAACTGTCTCCAGTTTCTACTGCTCTAACATTATTGTAGAGTTAATAAGATAATAAGAGAAATAATGAAAGAAGAAAAAATAATCTAAAAGCCTGAGTGTAGCAAGCTCATTTTGAATTGCATTAATCACTCAGAATCTTAGTAGATAATTAAGTGAAATAGTAAAAGGAAAAAAAGAAACTGCAGCTGTTAACTGTGACCAGGAAACCAGTTGCAGTAAAGACTTTCATAGTTTTTATTTCATTCTGTGAATGAAATAAATGAGGGATATCCTCTGCTATACATTGTCTCTTTTCCACACGTTAATCTTTTCGCAAGAGTATTCAATTCTTCAGGAGGTCTTGAGGGCCTATGGTAACCCTTTTTTTGATACAAGAAAGTACACGGTTTCCTTTCTCAACCTAGTTCTTACAAACTGACACTGAAATACATAGAAAACAGGACTTGGGGTAGTACGGAATACTTCACATTGACCTTTTCACCAAAGTGAATTTCATTCTTATGCTGATTTATACAGGTGTATATCAAAATATTAGAAATACTACATACTAATTTTAAAGTTAATCCACAGAATTACCATGAGGTCCACACTAGAATCTCTATTTCAATCACTAATCTGATCAAACTTTATTACATCACCTAGGTTTCTGTGTAAG